AGTTTCGCGCGGTGTTATTTTAGTCCTAGTTGTGAAAGACATTTCTCAAATTTCCTACGTGTAAAATCCTATGTTTTTGACTCATTACGGATGGTCTTTCCAATGAGAACCTTTTTATGCATATGACAATAATGTTAATCAAAATTACGTGCATGAAACACTTAGAACTTTTCGAGTCTCATCCACTCATTCTAAATCATTGCCGAAACAAATTCAGGAATTAAAAATGGAAATCCTCCCCAGTGGAGTCGCCAAAAACTGTAGGGAATAATTTCAAGCCTTTAAATCCCACTAGCTCAAACCCCACTGTGATCATACAATAAAGTACGGTGGCGTCCAAAAGGGAAGAAGATAGAGCGAAAGAGTCGCCAACAAGTTTTTAAGGAACTTGTAAACCGTTCACGAGGATGAAGGTTACACCCCTTAACGATCCAAGAGATCGTCAACTCCATAAGGTCATGAACCAAATAAGGGTTCGGGGATGATGGTACAAATTCAACCTAAAAGAGATTGAACCTGCCCTAATAATAGGCCTCTACTTTATTCTGCTCGTATTCATGTGCGCTTTCTGACTAACATACAATCAATAGGATTAACCCTAAACCTGTTTAACTATGTTGGTTGAATTTTAATGCACAAATAAACTATTATTGGCGATCACTTGAATTATAATCACAATTAACCTAACAAGATTATTAATTATCTTATTAAGCGTGATTGCAAATACCAATTCCCTTTAAACATGCAATAAAAGTGATCAAGCAATAACAATAATAAATATCAAGCATCATAATAAATAATCAATAATAATCATAATCATAATAAATATTAGGGAGAATATAGGAAGCATCATACTTTTAATCATACTTAATACTAAAGTTACCCTAGACATGATACTAGGAATTAAAATAACACTCTAAGCATGATGTCTACATCATAATATCAATAAAACCATTAAAGTACTTACTTGGATGCCTCGTACCTCTTTCTAATAACAAAATACACGCGTTAGTAACTTCAAGGAAAATAATAATCAAAACAATTAAATAAAATAATTGAAAGAGAGATTTGGGACCAAACCCTCAGAAATTAAAACCTTTCACGTCTAGGGCGAAGGCAACTTCGAATATGGCTAGGTGTTTCTAGATCTTGTGAATACGGAATTTTGTATTAAAAAGCAAAGTATTAAAGGAAGAATGAATGAATGTTAAGAATTATTGATGAAAGAGATGAAGATGATGGAAAGAATTGAATTGATGAATAATTTTGTGAATGAAGAGAGTTGATTATTGGTCAATGAATATTGATCATTGGTGAAAACTTAAGAATAAAGAGAATTGGTGACTCTTGGTGAATCAAAACGGAGTTTTAAATACGATATTTATAGAGAAAATCATCCAAAAAAGATAATTTATCAAAACAGAGTCTGAAGACCACAAAATCACCTTGGCGCCAGCCTGGCTCATTGGCGCCAGGACCAGTGGCTAGCGCCAGGCGCCAATGGGTGGCGTCTGGCGCCAATCCTGGTTCCAGGCGCCAAGGCCTGGGGTTGGCACCAAATTGGATTTCAACACGTTTTCGAAAATCTAATAAATTTCCCGTACTGGAAGATAAAATAATATAATTTCAGTCGAAAATGCTATTTGATCTAATTAAAACTCTGAAGAGTCCTAATTGAATTAAGAATGATAAGACCTTCTAGAATGTTCTAGAAGACTAAAACCATTCCTAATTACATTAGGAATGATAAATCATATTAGGCCCTCCCCTAGATCATTGGGCCGTACTTAAAGCTCAAACCAGGCCCAGTTTAGTAAATTGGCCATAAATTCCTCAATATTCATCGAAATTGGGCTTATAATATATCGTTGGAAAGGTCTTTGCAAGCCCCATCCAACTACACCACTATTGGACCCATATCATGGACCAACCAAACTGGATTGGCTGTTTTCTTAAAATAAAGTTTTCAAAAACAGAGAGAAAAGAAAAGAAATAAAACTTTCCGCAACACTAGACCTTTCCACACTTTCGTTTCATTTGATTATGATTCGACGTGAAAGGTACTCATTACCGGGTTTGGTTTTGGGGAGACACAAATGGGTGTTTACAGTTTTAAACTTTATTTCCGTTTGGTTGACTTTTGAGTTGACTTGCTTAATCGGTTTTTAATTTTGAGTCTTCCGCTTTGTATCTTTGATAATTGCCTTAGCCGTTTTCACGGTGGCGGTAATGTCTTAGTTATTCCTAAATCGTGTTTTTAAAAGAGTAGAATGGGTATTTAAAAGAAAGGAATTTCTAGGGTGTTACGATAGGTTTACCAAACCTGTTTAATCTATGTTGGTTGAATATTAATGCGCAAATAAAACTATTATTGGCGATCACTTGAATTATAATCATATTAATCCTAAACAAGATTATTAATTATCTTATTAAGCGTGATTACAAGTACCAATTTTCTTTTAAACATGCATAAAAGGCGTGATCAAGCAATAACAATAAATATATATCAAGCAACATAATATTAATCAAAATAATAATCATCATCATAATAATAATAATCATAATTAAAAATAATCATGTTAAAGCATAATAATAGCAAGATCCTAGGCATGGTACTAACAAGATTAATAACAAACCCTAACATGTCACTAAACATAAAAGATCAAATCTTTAGCCCTAACATGAATATTAGGAAAGAAAATAAGAAGCATCACAACAATCATACTTGATATTAGGAATTTTTAGTTGTTACCCTAAACACGATACTAGGAAGCAATAAAACATCCTAACACGATACTAGGAATCAAAATAACAACCTAAACATGATTTCTATGTCAATTAAACAAATAAAATACTTGGATGCTTCATATCTATTTCTAATAACAAAATACACACGTTAGTAACTTCAAGGAAAATAATAAAATTAAATAATTAAAATAGAGATTAGAGATCAAAACCTTAGAAATATCAAACCTTTCACGTCTAGGGCGAAGACAACTTTGAACTTGGCTAGATAGGTGTGTTTAGATCTTGTGAATGCGGAATTTTGTTTGTAAAAAAAGTTGGTTTAGAGAGAGAGAGAGAATAAGCTTTAGCTTAGAGAGAGAGAAGAATTAGAGAATTTTGTTTTTATCATATCTTTTGATCTAGAAGTCCAAATAAGGCATATAATATGTTGTCGGAAAGCTCTTGAAGTCTACTTTCCTACCAAATTGGAATCAGATTAAAAATATTTTTATATATATATTTAGAATTTAAATATTATAATTAGACTCCCTCGAAAGAAAGGGCTCTCTAGCGCTTAGGGTTTACTGCCGCTTTGTGACGGATTTTGCTGCTATTTCCGGTGACTCTGACTGGAAGATGGCGGACGAATTAGCTTCTCAATATGAAAAATTGCGATTGAATGAAGAGGAAGGTGCAATTGTGGACTTAGGTGCAGCTGAATCTTCTCAACCCTCAGAAAAATATCATCTTATGCTGATTGGAAAATTAATAACTGACAGACCTTACAACGTGGAGGCTTTCAAGTCTACAATGGCGAAGGGCCTGGAAATTGACTAATAAAGTAGTAATTAGGGTTCTTGGCCCTAACTTATTTGCATTCCAATTCTTCCATTAGAGGGATAAGGAAAAGGTCTTGGAAGGGAGGCCTTGGTGTTTTGATAACCTTCTGCTTGTCCTTAAAGAAGTGGATGGTGATGAGCAACCGGAAAATATAACGTTGGTCTATTCTCCATTTTGGGTTCGAATTAAACATTTACCTTTCAATTGCCGCTCTTATGAGGATGTTAGGGAGTTGGTCGCAAGTATGGGTGAAGTCATTGAGATTGAAGAGGATTTTCTTGGGCTGGAACAAGTGATGATTAACATCACTAAACCGCTGCGCCACTGCCAGAGAATCCGCGATAAGAGTGGAAAGGAGATACTAATTGAATTTGCCTATGAGAGGCTCCCGTTCTTCTGTTTCGTGTGTGGTGTAATTGGGCATTGTGAGAAAGATTGTGACATGGTCTCGGAAGAGTCCAAGAAAAAGCAATTGGGGTGGGGAAGATGGATTAAGGCGTCACCACGTAAAGGGCGTATGAAGGACTTGGAGGAACTTGATGCGGTGATGGTGGCTAGGAAGAAGCTGTTTATTTTAAAGGAGGATGAGGAGAGGGATGTTAACGAAAATAACAGGGAGTTGGAGGAGGTCGTGATTAGTGAGAAGGAGGGGGAGGGGGTGAGGGAAGAGGGCGGATTGTAGCTGGTCAATGATACGACCACTGTCAATCCAAGGATAGATGGGGATGTTATTAGGGGGGTGCAAAACAATTTCTTATTGGTTCTGGCCCTATTGTCTTTGCGGCTGGTAAAGGTAATGTAGGGGACAAGGAGGTGGGAAAGAAGAGACGAAGGATACCGAGAGGAGTAGGTAGTGGTGAGGGTAATGATATGGAAGTCGAGCTGCATAAGGATGAGAAAAAAGGGGTAGGTACAATGTAGATGATGTGGAGCAGAAAGGTATGAGCAAGAAACAAATTACTGAAGATGGTTGGCGATTGGCGGGGGTTGACATGGAGCAACCCCCCCGAGACCAATGAGTATACTAAGTCTCAACTGTAGAGGGTTGGGAAACCCCTCTGCAGTAAGTAATCTCCGTGATTTAATTCGGATAGAGGCCCCGTGTGTGATTTTTCTATTGGAGACGAAATTAAGTAGTATAGAGTTTCGAAGAGTGCATACAAGTTTGGGTGATTTTGAAGGTTTGTCTGTTGATTCTAGAGGTAGATCGGGTGGTTTGGCATTATTATGGAAAAAGGGAGTGGCCCTCCATTTACGCTCTATGTCCCTTCACCACATTGATGTTGAAATTAGAGGCGGTTTAGGGGAGGAGGTTTGGAGATTGACCGGGTTTTATGGATGGCCGGAGGTTGGTAATAGACATTTATCATGGTCCTTGCTTCATGATCTCCATTCTCAATCTCATTTACCGTGGGCGTGCATCGGTGACTTTAATGAGATTTGCATCGGAAAAGAATGGTGGAAATGATAGAGCGAAGTGGAAAATGGCAAATTTTAGAGCGACAATTGATTTTTGTGGCTTCCGGAGTGTAGCTTTCTCGGGTTACGCTTTCACTTATGACAATGGGAGGGATGAGCTCGATAATACACAATGTCGCTTGGATAGGGCGTTGACCAATGATTCTTGGTTTGCGTCATTTCCCGAGGCTCATGTTATTCATATTGATCCTGAGTGGTCCGATCACGCTCCTATTAAGTTGGTTTTGTTCCAACAGCCTTCTTTCTCACTTGGTGAAATCCTTTCCGGTTTGAGCAATATTGGCAGCAAGATGAAGGATGTGCGAATGTAGTGGAGAGTGCTTGGATTGGAGGCCTTGGATTGGACTCTAAATTGTCATTGTGTGCTACGAATTTAAAAGAGTGGAGCTCTAATACTTTCGGTGCTACCTTTCGTGAGCTTTGAAAAAAGAGAAAGAAATTGCAGAAGTTAAATAGAGGGGGATTAACAGCGTCTCAAATTGAGCAGCGAAGGAGCTTGTTGCGTGATATTGAGGGCCTGATTAAACACGAGGAGCTTTATTGGAGACAAAGATCACGGGTGTCATGGCTTGCGGAGGGAGACCGCAATACTAAGTTCTTTCACCAAAGAGCTTCGGGCAGAAAGAGAAAAAAATTTATTCGCTCTTTGAAGGACTCTAATGGTGATCTTAAGGCTGAAGACGAGGTGATTGGGAGGATAGCCGTGAAATATTTTAAAAATTTATTTTCCTCTTCTAGTCCCTCTATAATTGAATTTGCCCTACAAGACTTCCAGAGTAGGGTAATGGATGATATGAATGCTATATTGAGAAGGTCGTACTCTGCGGAAGAGGTGAAGTTTGCTCTTGATCAAATGCATCCTATCAAAGCCCTCGGTCCGGATGGTATGTGCCTCTTATTTTTTATGACTTATTGGCATATTGTTGGTCCGTCAATTACCTCTTCTGTGCTTGCTATTATGTGGGGTGAGTCTATTCCTGAGTTCCTTAATAAGACTTTCATTGCTCTAATTCCGAAAAAAATAATGTTGATCAGATGTCGGATTTTAGGCCTATTTCATTGTGCAATGTGATTTATAAATTGGTCTTGAAAGTTCTTGCTAATCGACTAAAAGAGTTTCTTGATAAAATTATTTCTGTCCAACAAAGTGCTTTCACGTACTCCGGGGAGGTTGATTACAGATAATATTTTAGTCGCTTTCGAGGTGTTCCATCATATGAAAAATTTGAATTCAAAAGAGGGTTGCATGGCAATGAAATTAGATATGTCAAAGGCTTATGATAGGATCGAATGAGATTTTTTAGAAGCGGTTCTGAATAAATTTGGCTTTGATCAGAGTTGGAGTAGGTGTGTGATGAATTGTGTTCGTTCTGTTTCTTTCTCGATGTTGATTAATGGGAAGCCGTATGATGTTTTTACCCCGAGTAGAGGGATCCAACAGGGTAACCCTCTTTCCCCTTATCTGTTCATATTGTGTGCGGATATTTTTTCTCACCTTCTCCAGAGGGCGGAGGAATGTGGTACTCTTCATGGCATTAGAATTGCTCCGACGGCTCCGGATATTAGTCATTTGTTGTTTGCGGATGATTGCATTATTTTCTCGAAAGCAAATATGCAAGATTTAGAGGCCATTAATGATGTGTTGGAGGTCTATGAGAAGTCGTCGGGTCAAAATATTAATTTTGATAAGACGACTATTTTTTTTAGTAAGGGTGTTGGAGAGGGAAAACGGAAAGAGTTGGCTAATAGGTGTGGTGTTAGGGTGGTTGATATACATGATCGTTATCTTGGGCTTCCTACGGTGGTGGGGCGTTCGAAGAAGGTTATCACGAAAGGGATTACAGAAAAATTGTGGAAAAAACTCCAAGGATGGAAGGGGATGGTTCTTTCAAAAGCGGGTAGGGAGGTTATGATAAAGGCGGTGGCCCAATCTCTCCCTACTTATGCAATAAGCGTGTTCAAATTTCCATCTTCGTTTTGTGATGAGTTGAAATCCTTGGTAGCACAATTTTGGTGGGGGCAAAAACAAGGGGAAAGGAAGTTACATTGGTTAGCTTGGAAGAAGCTATGCCGGTCAAAGAAAGAAGGGGGATTGAGGTTTCGAGATTTCAAGTTGTTTAACAGGGATCTTCTTGGGAAACAGGCTTGGAGGTTGGTGGCTCAACATGGCAGCCTTATTGAACGTGTTAATACTACCCAAATTCTTCATATATTGAGGCAGAGATGGGGTTGAATCCAAGTTATACTTGGCATGGTATTTGGGAGGCAAAGTGGATGGTTAATAGGGGAATGAGATGGAGAGTGGGCAATGGAGGAAATATCAATTTCTGGTCTGATTGTTGGGTTCCGATTACTCAGACTAGGAAAATCATTTTGCCAATGGGTGCTAATGCTGCGAATTTAAAAGTTGCTGAGCTTATTGATCAACAAGCAAAGTGTTGGAAGATGGATCGCCACTCCGAGTTGCTGCTCCCTTTCGAAAGGGATAGAATTCTCAGTATCCCTATTAGTAAGAGGCTGCCTTGTGATAGTTTGTATTGGGACTTGGTAAAAGATGGCTGCTATTCGGTGAGATCGGCTTATAAAGCTCTTTTTAATGATGATTGGCATCGTGGTGAGGAAGCTCCTTCCAATGTGCGTAGTTTTTGGTTAAAGATTTGGGGTCTTGATGTGCTACCACGCATTAGAGTCTTTGCTTGGAGAACATCCCAAAATGCTATCCCGACGAGGAGTTGCATCAGCCATCGAATTCACAGATACGAGGCTCTGTGTGGCATCTGTAACAGAGCTGATGAAATTGTCCTACACGCCCTGAAGGATTGTCATGTGGCTAGGGCTGTTTGGAGTTGTTCCTCCTACGAGCATGTGGCGTCTCGCGATTTTAGTAGCCTTATAGACTGGTGGAATTTTTGTTTTAGCTCGTTGGAGGAGGAGGATGTTGAGAATATTGTTACTCTTTGCTAGGCCGTGTGGAACGCACGGAAAAAGCTGGTGATGGAAGGTGAGATCCCCAATGTTGATCAGATTGTGAGCTATGCTTCGAAGATGAGTGCTGAAGCTCGTGCTGCTAGGCAGCAGTGTTGCTCGAATGGGACTGCTGCTGGGATGAGCTATCCTTCGGTCTGGAGTGCCCCTGCTGTTGGAGTGTTTAAAATTAATGTTGATGCAGGTTGTTTGGGGGATGTAGGCTCGGGGTTGGGTGTGGTCTGCAGGGATGGTGGTTGGTAAGGTTAGGTGGGCTGCGGTGTCCCAGATGCATGAGACATGGGATCCGAATGTGGCCGAGGCAAAAGTAATCTTGCTGGGGCTCAAGCTGGTAAAGGAGAAAGGTATGAGCAATGTGGTGATCGAGAGTGATTGCCTTGGAGTTACTGAAGCTCTTTGCAAGCGTGTGAGAGGCTCTAATTCCGTTCATTTGATTATCGATGATATTCTTGAGTTTTATTCTAGTTTTTGCTAGTGTCACTTGGTCTTTTGTCAAGAGGGGGGGGGGGAATAAATTAGCTCATTTTGTAGCTCATTTTCAACCATGGCTAGTTGGTTTGAGAATGTGGAATGATGTAATCCCTGATTTTATTTTGGATACTTCTTTGAGTGATATACCAATATAATCTATCCCGTCCCTCAGGGTCTTTCAAAAAAAAAAATTGTAGATAAAAATATATGGCCGAAATAGTAGGACGGTGTCAGTTTTGGATAGAGTTTTGTATTTCTTTCATATCTTTTTTCGTTATAGCTCGAAATTAATATTATAATATATCATAGGAAAGATAATTTCAAGATGTATCCAACCATATAATATTTGGATAAAGATTATGAGGCACAAAAATAATATCTGACTGTCTTTGAACATCTTTAAATTCAAATAGAATTATGATTAAAAAAGGAAAGGTTTTATAAAAGGAAAGTTTTTATTTAACTCAAATTCTTTAATCTTATCTTTTCAAAAAGGATAATATAGAAGATTCTAATTAATCCTAATTAGTTTAGGAATAGAATTAGACCTTTGGACCCTCCACATGATCATTGAGCCGTAGGTAAAAACCAGTTTGGGCCCAATTTAGTATTTTGGCCATAACTTCCTTATTATTCATCGGAATTGGGCTTATAATATATCGTTGGAAAGGTTTTTTCAAACCCATCCAACACTAGTACAAAGTTGGGCTTAAGTAACATTTATTGGTAACACTTTAAAAATTTCATGATTGGTTGATTTTCAGTAACACTTTTGTAACATTTTAATATTAGGTAACATTTTTTGTAACACTCTAATATTAGTTAACACTTCATAGTAACACTTTATTATTAGGTTATTTAGGTATCATTTAATTGTAACACTTTAATATTAAATAGAACTTGATTGTAAAACTTAATTTGATAAAATAATAGTAAAAATAAAACCCTCACAACTCTCTTCCTCCTTATTTCTCGGTTTCTCCATCAAGCATTCAAGCTTTCTCTTTCTCTTGAAACTACACCTCCTTTCCACCGCTACCCCCTTCTCGATCTCGGTGCTCCACTGTAGTCCACCGCAGCCTACCTCCATTGCAGCACATGCTCCTAGTTAAAGAGACAACGATGTTTGCCCCCTCAAAAGACATCGATTGTCACCTCCTGGCTTCCATCTTCGGCGGCTTCCACCTTAAAGTTTGGGTTAGTGTTTGTTTCGTTTCTTCTCCCTTCCATTATCAACAAGAGTTTTGAGTTAGCTAAAGTTAGGGTTTTAATTCCCTCTCTCTAATCTTGTTGATGATTTCTTAATTTGATGTTTAATTTCACTATTGCCTCAAAAAAAAAAAAAAAAAAGTTCACTATCTTCATACTGAATTTTGTGTGCATCAAAATTGGTCGATGTATTTTGATGAGTTTGGGGTTTTTGCTTTTTCTTCTTTTCGATAATTTCCGTTTTGATTTACATTGTAATTTGATCTTTGTTGACTAATCTATCCAATTTAATTTAATTATTTTCTATTCTGAATTAATTCCTCATAAGCTTGTCGAGAACCCAAGTAATTATGGGCAAAAGAGATGAAGAAATCCAGGACAATACCAGTTATAATCGGAGGAATGGTGTTTGATTACTTTGATATTCAATAAGCTACTGCTGCTATTCCTGCTACTGCCAAAACCACTACTACTAGCAAGGTTTTTTGTTTATTTTTATTTTTTTAAAGCTCTAATTATGGAATTGGATTTTTATTTTTCATTATCTCGATACTTTTTCTTATTAGTTGTTAATTTTGTAAGAAAGTGTGATAATTGCGTCATTTGCCACATTTTCTAAGCTTTAATTTTGTGGGGGTTTAGATGATTAAATGGCTAATTTATGCAATTTACTCTTTTTTTTCTTCTAGATGTTGCTTAATTTTTTTTATTTGGATTTAGGTGTCTAATGAGTTTAGCTTCTACTTCAGTAAAAAAAACTCAGTTTTAATACTATGTTTATCTTTTTCCCATGGCTACATTATCAGTTACGTCTATAGTCAAGCTCTCGATTATACAAGGACTAGGAAATTAACATGATTATCTTACTTTAATGTATTAGTAACACTAAGAGGTGTTATATTCTTTTAAGGTGAATTAACATATATACTTAAGTATTAGTTAGTATTAATCCCCAAATTTAATTACCAATTTATTAAAAAAGTTTAGGATTACCGTCAAAGCAATTAAATTGAAATAAAAGAGAAGCAATCAGTAAGCTTCTATAGGCAGACAAATAATACTTGCTACTTCAAGAGTAGTTTGGGATGTCATAGTATTAATGCAAACTCTAGTTATATTAAGGGTTGGTCCCCTAAGAGCTAGAACTGAACATCATTTGTAGAACTTAAAATGTTAGGTTGAACAAAAAGCATCTATTAGCAGCTCATAAATGCTTATTAAACCACAAGAAAATAGAAAGCAGATAAGACTTTAAAAAAATAAATAAATTAGAATCTTGATTGTTAATCTAGCCGAGGTTCAAGACTTATCATATGTCACAAGTCATTATGATCCAATTGCTGGATTTTTGCTCTGTTTCCTCAGTATCATAAACAACAGCCGTTTTACTGATAAGAGTTTACCCAGGGATAAGCCATCATGATTACCTCAATCATAAAGTTGGGGTGATGAGAATTGAACCTCCAACCTCTTAGTTGAGAGCGTGCGATCTCTAATTTTCTACCATCAAGTTTCCACTTGATTCTCATACCTTATTGCTGCATTCACATACGTCGTATTAAGCGTGCAAAAATGTTATGCAGTTCACCAGAAAAAGCATATTTTATTGTTCCTTGAGTAAGGTTAATGTACTTAATAGTACAATGAGCTACATATACTTTAGTAATCCCTCACCAAACTGTCCTTCATGTTAGGTGTTTAACAAAGATGTTGCCTTCAGAATAAGGGTATATAAAGAATGAATTTCGTTGAAACTTTGAGGTCTCTGCAATTCTCTGAGGTTGTGTGCAATTAATCTTGCTAATAGTCTGAATTCTTATGGTGGCTGGTCTATATGTCCTAGTTCTTATGTGAAGTCTGGTGCTTAGTTGCTCTTTTTGTGCTCAGTTGCTCGAATCTGTAGTCAGCTGCCTAACAAAGGTAATAAGCTCTTAAACCCGTATCCTAATCAGTGAAAGTGACCAGTTTCGGTCCTATGACATGCATGCATAATTCTGCAGAACAAAATTCAATGCATGGATTTGTGACTTAGTTCCTGCATCTGATCCATGTAGGGAGAGAACCTTTAGTTTGAACTTAATGCATGCAATATCAGTTAGCTAGTCATATATGAACTTTCCCTAGTAGGTATGTTTCTAGTAGCGTTAAAACATGTTTAGCATGGTGTATCAATTAAGCAAGTGTCAAATCTAGTTATTAATAATTCAATCCATGAATAATAAAATGATTACTCTCACTTGATCATTTCCTTTTTTTCATTTTTACACAGGAATTGAACAGCCCTTCATGGATGTAATACAAGTTTGTATTCCTTGTTCCTCAATGGTGAATGAAAGACTATAGTTTTGTTCTGGCCAGTTCACTTTATAGTCTGCCAACAATGAAAATTGGACATAGTTTTGTTCTGGCCACTCTCTTTTGAGGTAAATCAAGAAGGTGGAATTAGCTATGTAAACTCTGAACATCAGGCTAATAATCTGCTAGGGGTCTGATACTCTGAAAATCTGAAAATTTGTTTGTCATCAATAATGTTTGTCAACTTGTTGTCTTGTGTGTTCTTTGTAGGAAGCAAGATCTAGATGGCAGAATATGAAAAACGTAGACAAGCAAGGATAGAACAAAATAGAAGCAAAATGAAGGATTTGGGGGTTACATCCATGGCTTATGAAATGAAAGAGTCGATGAAGGGCTCTAAATAAACGAAAAAGCACTAACTCTTAATATTGCGTTATTTCATTTTTGTTCTAGATGTTTGATATATGATGCTTTCACAAATTGGATCAAAGGGATCAAGATGTAGAATTGGGATAACAAGTGAAGATGCTACAAGAAGCACTTACTGTTACTGCTGTTTGGATGCTTTTACTGCTATTTTTTTTGCTGCTGGTGCTGTTTTTTGCTGCTGCTGTTGCCGCCGCTGCTGTTTTTTGCTGTTACTGTTGTCTGTTGCTGCCCCCTGCTGTTGCTTGCTGCCTCCTACTGCTACTTGCCGCCACTGCTGCTGCTGTTTGCCGCCACTGCTGCTGCTGTTTGCCGCCACTGCTGCTGCTGTCTGCCGCCACTACTGTCTGCTATTTCTGTTTGCTGCTACGTAATGCTGTTTGCTGGTTTGTTACAGCTGCTGCCATTCTGCTAGCTAGCTGCTACCGCTATTTGCTGTTATTAATATTGTTTACTGCTATCGCTGACTGTTTTTTGAAATTTGGAAGTTTTCTTATTTCCTCACTTTTTGCAAGCCAGAGATCGTAGTTGCTTTTCATTCTGTTTGGATTATTACGAAGTATATTGTTTGGCCAAACATTAAAATTGGTGTTTATGAATTTTCTTATAAGACTTATGAAATTATTTCAATCCAAATTGTTGCCTATCATATATGTTAATTTCTTATTCATTGTTGTGCATATTAATATTAATTTTATATTTAAATAAACATTAATAATAATAATAATAATAATCTATTAATTAATTAGGTGCTACATTTTGTAAAAAGTGATACATAATGTCGAAAAAAGTGCTATTATATGTCCAAGATAATTGAAAAATGTTACCTAATAATCAATAAAGTGTTACATTAGTTCAAAAAAGTGATAAATAATGTCGGATAAAGTGATACTATATGATTGAAAAATGGTACTAAAGATAAGTAAGTGTCCCATAAGAAATAAAAGGTATCACTTTAAAAATGGTACTGATAATATTAAAAAATGTTACATAAGAGGGTTTATAGTAACAATTTTAAAGGTGTTACCATAGATTACCCAAAGTGTTACATAAGACCTTAGGTAACATGGGCGGATGTATCACCCACTAAAGTGTTACATATTGTCTATAATAACACTTTTACCACTTTATGTAACACTTTTTAGGTGTTACTTAAGGTTAGTTTTGTACTAGTGCAACTACACCATTATTGGACCCATATCATGGATCAAACTAAACTGGAATACACGTTTTTTAAAAATAGGGTAAGAAAAGAAATATTTTCAAAAACCGAAAGAAGAGATATTTTAATAAAAACATTCTCATCACTAGACTTTTCACACTTTTTCTTTGTTCGATAATCAATGACATGAAAGGTATTCATTACTGGGTTTGGTTTTGGGGAGACACATTTGGGTGTCTACACTAATGGAGTTAGGATTGATAATTATGTTTCAAAGAGTTTGAAATTGAATATAACTACTCCTTTTGAGAATCCTTGTTTTGTACGAAATGGAATATATTCAGATATTATTTTTGTGCCTCATAATCTTTATCCAAATCTTATATTGTTGGATATATCTTGAAATTATCTTTCCAATGATATATTATAATATTAATTCCGAGCAATAACGAAAAAGATATGAATGAGATACGAAACTATATCCAAAACTTACACCCTTACACTATTTCGACCATATATTTTTATCTACAAAATATTTTAATCTGATTCAAATTGGGTTGGAAATTAGACTTCAAGAGATTTCTAACGACATATTATATGACTTATTTAGACTTCTGGATCAAAAGATATGATAAAACAAAATCCGCAAAAACTGTCCTGCATCGCCAAAGTCGCCTAACGACAAGTCCTGTCGTTGGCGACATAAGCGTGTTTTATTCCTTTTCGAACTCTGATTCGATTCTATCAATTTTGGACTATTTTCTTATAAATAGGGTCCCTAGACCTCCGTTTTTCAATAACCAGAATTCTTTAATTTTCTCTCTCTCTAAGCTAAAGCTTATTCTTCTCTTCCTCTTTCTAGCCTAGCCTTTTACAAACACAATTCCTCGCTCATTAGATCTAGACACATTTAACCAAGTTCGAAGTTGCCTTCGCGCTAGACGTGAAAGGTTGATATTTTATGAGGGTTTGGTCCCAAATCCAGTTTAAACATTTTAACTCTTTCTTTCAATTCTTTAGTTATTTATTTAATTTTATTATATTTTCCTAGAAGTTACTAACGTGTGTATTTTGTTATTAGAAAGAGATACGAAACATCCAAGTAAGTATTTTAATTGTTCTATTGATATTATGATATAGAAATCATGCTTAGATTATTATTTTGATTCCTAGTATCATGTTTGGATGTTTTATTGCTTCCTAGTATCATATTTAGGGTAATGATTAAGTTTCTTATATTAAGTATGATTAAAAGAATGCTTCCTATTTTCTTTCCTAATATCATGTTAGGGTTAAAGCTATGATTTTTTATATGTTTAGTGACATGCTAGGGTTTGTTATTAATTTTGTTAGTATCATGCCTAGGATCTTGCTATTATTATGCTTTATTTTTAACATGAACATGATTATTTTGATTATGATTATGATTATGGTTATGATTATTATTATTATGTTGCTTGATGATTGATATTGTTATTGCTTGATCACGCCTTTTATGCATGTTTAAAGGGAATTGTTACTTGTAATCACGCTTAATAAGATAATTAATAATCTTGTTTAGGTTAATTTGATTATAATTCAAGTGATCACCAATAATAGTTTTGTTTATGAATTAATATTCAACCAACATAGATTAAACAGGTTTAGGGTTAACCTATTGATTGCATGTTAGTCAGAAAGCGCACATGAATACGAGAAGAATAAAGTAGAGACCTATTTTATAGGGCGAATTCTTTCTCTTTTAGATTGGATTCGTACCCTCATCCCCGAACACCAGTCATGGTTCTTGATCTATTGGAGTTAACGATCTCTTGGATCATTAAGGGGTGTAACCTTCACCCTGTGAACGGTTTACAATCTCCTAAAACTTGTTGGCGACTCTTTCACTCTAGCTTCCTTTCCTTTGGACAGTGGCGGATTTACACGTGTGTACACTGAGTCACGTGACTCAGCAGTGCCAAAAAAAAAATAAAAAAAAAAAGGAAAAAAAAACAAAAAACAAGAGAAAACGGCCAAAAGGCCCAAAACGCGTGAAATTAAAACGAAAACCTCAGAACCCTAACTCCCTCTCTCAAATCAGCCGCTACAGCGCTACTTGCCTTCTTCGTCGGCGACAGCAACCACGCCGGAGGCCACTCAGTCAGTCGTTCGACGCTCGACGCTAACAAGTAACAACTCGAGGCCTCGACTCTCGAGTCCCTACTCGGCTACTCCCTCGACTTCAAAGTTCTAAAGCCCAACTCGACTGGCCGACTGCTGTCCTTCAAGGCTTCAACTTGACCGCCGCGCCGCCACCGAGCAGTCGTCAGTCGAGCACGGAGCACCGACTCACCGAGCCACCGTCAATTGAGCTTTGAGCAAGCAGCCAAGCAGTGAAGCAGCAAGGTATTTAATTATATACCTTTTAAGTTTTGAGTTTTTATTTGCTTTGTTAATTATAATTTTGCATAATTTTAGTCACTTGAATAGTCGAATGATTAAATTGAATTATTGAAATGAATTGTTGATTTGTTGTTCATTATTGATTTATTGTGTTAATTACTTAATTAATTATATTTATAATTTCGGTCATTTATTGATTTATAAATTATAATTTCATTGAAAATTTGTAATTGACAGTTAGTTTGCTGTAATGTTGTTCATTGTCAATTTGTCACATTGTGGATTTGTCATTTGTGGTGTTGATGAATTGTTGAAAACTTGAAATGCAGAATTGTTGAGTAGTTTTGAGTACTATTGGACTATTGGTACTTTGTAGAATTGTAGTTTGTAGCCTTTCGTGTATATATGAATGTATTATGTGTATTCAAATGAATTGAAATTGTGTATATATGATTGTATAAATGAATTGCTGAATTTTTTGTAATTGTTTATTTGCTTAATTGATTTTCAGAATGAAGCGGAAACGTACTCCAAATAAAATGCAAAATATCGCTAGTTTCTTCACTAAATGAAGGTGGTTGTATCCAAAAATAGAATTTTGTTAATATTTTTGGATTCGAAATTTTTTTTGTATTGTTACAGGTGATCAATTATTCAGGGTGACTCACAAGTTTAGAAATCCTGGATCCGCCACTGCCTTTGGACGTCTCCATGCTTAAGTGTATGATCACAGTGGGGTTGAAGTTTGGGGTAATGCTTGAAATATTCTCTACAATTGGGGAGGGATCCGGTAAGAACATTCTCTTATATAAGAACCCTAGTTTTATAGGAACCAATCTCAACCGTAGAATTAGATTGATTTGAACGAATCAGATTAAAGGAGGAGAATTAAGGGCAGTTTTGTGAATATGATACCGCCACCTCTATTACTAAAACCCAAAACTCTATACAATACCACCATTAACGACCAAATACAAGCTTTGATTCAATACTTACTCATATTTGAGGTCAAAATCAACGATCAGTGTTAACATAAACAAGCATAATTAAGTGGTTTGAGTATATTTTTTCCGCAAAGCTCTAGATTGATGCAATTCGTCAGATTCGAGTGCGTTTTTTAATTCATTGGATGTTCATTGCTTTTGTTCATGTCCGAATTTTTGTTATTTTGTCTATTCGTTGTTTGAATACGTTATTTTCGTTGTTCTAATTCAATAAATTTGTTGTTTGTGTTGTTCAATTCGAATTCAATAAATTTGATGTTTTTGATTTTTGTTTTTCACCTTAAATTTCGTCATTTGTGTTGGTCTAAATCTGAATTATACATATTCGTTATTTGTGTTATTCCAATTCATCAATTTCATTGTTAATGTAATGTTAGGGATTTTGTATTTGGAATAATTGTTCAACCTATTCAATTTTAGGTATATATTAATATTGCTAATTTTTTTGGTCTTTACAATCAGACATTTCTGAGCCAATTTTGTAAGTTTATGCTTTATGTTTGAACTTATACTCCAAAATTTTCGAAGAATTTGATGATTTTGTAAGGCGATTTTAATATATAGTTCGAATTGTTGCGGGGTTACAATGAATAAGCTAATAGAAGTTTCTTGAATTTATGTGCCTGCTACCATTTTGTAAGAATTTTTATACAATACAATATAACTAGTACAATATCAAAAGTTTTTTTTTTAAGAAAAAAACGTCATGTCAAAATGAACATATGATCTATTATACATGATCTTTATATACCTTGTAGTTACATACATGTCTTTTTCAACATGACCACTTGATGTTATTATATCCTTCAATAGTTGAGAATCATTCATAATGATTATAGAACATATGAACTTTTATGTATTCTAACCCAAATTCAGAATGAATATTCATGTTGGAGATGTTACATAAAATGAACATTATTTTTGAAATTTGATATATGAACTTAAATAATCTTATGTCAAAGTGTTATTGAAATGAACATTTTTGTGTACTTAAATAAACAACTACAAACATATATGTGTATCAAAAGAATTTCAAAAAAAAAAAAAAAAAACGTCATGCCAAAATGAACATATAATCTATTATAAATTATCATTATACCTTGCAATTGCAGATGTGTCATTTGTCATTTTCAACGGGACCACTTGTTATTATATATTTTAAAAGTTGAGGATCAATTACAGGAAATTTAGCTTAGCGCTCATTTTGTATTTTATTTACTCTTGATTAAATAGGAATATCATCGTCATCTCCATTTATATATACTTATTTTTTTTTTAAAAAAAAATCAATTAAGAATTACATAACTCCATAATGTAAATGATTAATTAAATAAACACTTTCAAATCAAGTAAAAATAACACTTACATTTCTCTAGAATTTTCTTCCTTACTCTCTTAAAGATCATGCTTCGCTCTAAAAAAAATTTAACACATTGTTTTACTTGTTTTGTGACCAATGTTTAGTAAAATTACATTGAATTACTTACAATGATTCATTTTGCACACTTGATGTATCTTATTTTTCCCGAAAATTAAAATCGCAAAAAAATTAAGAAAACTTAGGGTTTGTATTTTATTTTCAAAAAATGAACAAATGTACTTACGATTGTGCGTAATTTTCGTTGTTGTTTTGCATAATCTAGCGCAATTTCTTCCTTTTATCAAACATTTTTCTTGATTTTTTTACTTAATTTTGAGATTTCTTCCAGAAATTTAGTAAATTATTTAATTTTTTGGTGAAATAGAAAATGGAGAGAGAAAATGAAAACTGCAGGTAACAGTGTACATTTTTTTGTTTTTGTTTTATTTTATTTTATTTTTTGTAGGGTAATTGCAGTAAATGTTGTTAGTGGGGGAAGCAAGGGCTATATGGTAATTTTGTGCGGAGGGGGGGGGGTGTAGGCAGTTTTGGCTAAAGGGGGGTGTAGCCATCAACAATTATACAAATGGTCCAATTAGGCCCTCAATATAATCAATTGAGAAGCTAATGGAGTTGACGAACTTTGGTCATCAAGGTTAATTTGATGTATTTGTAAAAATTAACTCTTAGGGTTACATGGTGAATCTAAACATTAATAGTATATGATGAGTAATTGCAAAATCCAGAGGTATATGATGAAAATGTAGTCATTAATTTTTTATTATTATTCAAATTTTTTAGTGATCACTTTTTTTTACTCCGTATTTGTTTAAATTGTTCTTGCCTTTATTTTTCTAACTTCAACAATACTTTGATATTCTTGCTAACTTAAAAAATTCATGCTCTTTATTATTTTATTTTTTTTCCTTTTTTCCTTTCCAAATTCATAATAATTGCAAAGAAAGAGAAGTCTAAGTACAAGAATTAATTGAAGCATTGGAGTATTAGCATAAAAAAAAAAAAAAGCACACAGCCAAATCATTAGGGCAAGTGGAGAGATGGGAACTCGAGAAGTGTATGAGGAGAAGCTTCGAACTGGAAATGCGTATCACCATGCTCCCACCATCAATCCTGGCCTTGGCACCCCACGTTGCCCCCGTTGTCTCTCGCTCCTCGACTCTGATTCTGTATATTCTCTCAATCTTATTAATCTGTGTGCTTTCTCTTTGACCTTTTCCTTTTTCTTTAGCTCCATTTTGGTGTGCATATTAACAGTTTGACGATTTGTCTCAAAGAGTTTTCTTGCTATGCTGACTACTTGCCTTTTTGGGTTTCTTGTTGATTCAGAGGAGTGGTGAATGGACAATTACTCCTGTGTTGCATGACGCTACAACTGTGGTATGAATCCTGTCTTTTCTGTTTCTGTTTTTGTATACCTGAATATAGTAAGCAAGCTGCCTATACAATCTATTTCTTGCAGTTCCTATTTCTCTCAGAAATTGTAGACGAACTTTGTATTTTGTTAAATTTTTGAATGGAACCTAATTGCTTATTTCTTAAAATCTGTCTTGATGAAGTGAGACAAATTGAAACCCACGAGGTGTTAATCGGATGTGTTTATAGTAGTTAGAGGATTTGGAGCTTTTTAATGCAATGTGCGAGTATATTTTTCATGTTAGAGCTAAGTGTGGTCATTTGTCTTTGTCTTGGTTCCCACTTAGGGTTCTTCCATTTTGTCTTGGCTACATATAGACTTTGCATCTTGATCTCAAGGTTTGTTTGATGGGCTTTAATGGGTTCAAGTTTGCAACGCTTTCTGGACTGTTGAAGTTTGTTGAAAAAAATTAAGGGCTGGGGGTGTAAATGGGTTGGGAACACGTAGTTTAGACAGGGGAGGCCATTCATTCTGGATGTAATAAAAAAAATAAAAAATAAAAACTTTGACAAGGCTGGATTTGATAATTAAGATGGAGAGTTCTGCTTGTGATTGCAGGAATTACTTGTAGCGAGTTGGTTGGAGAGGTCGAGATGACCATATATTAAAAGTTTGCCCAGTGGGAGAGGATGGCAACAGATAAAAAATTGAAAGCCAATACCATATATTTTCTATGGAATCTCCTTTTTTACATGAGATAATCTATATTTATTAATCAAGCACCTGTCTTGAAGCAGCTTTGGTTTTTGTTTGGTGTTTCTAAAGGTGATTTCTGATCACATGTTAGAAATTTTTTTGGTAAAGAGAGTGCATGTTAAAGTATGTATATGAGTGTATGGGTTGTCTATCAAACTAGGAAATCCCTCCTTTGAGTCTCTGTTTGAAAACAGGATTAGTTTGTTATTTTTAAGAATGTCATTCTTATTATTTGTGCCTCCTGATTTCATGCAAAATTGGTCTTAGATTTTGTCCTACCAATCTCGTGAAATGATTTTGCAAGACTTGTCTTTTAATGTGGTGGTAGATGCAAAAGATTATTGCTGCTGCTGTTATGCTAGATAGTTAGTTGCTGATATGAGGAGGGCTGATGACGAGAGAGATTTTTTTTTGACAAAATCATGAAGTAAGAGGAGGTGTAGGTGGATGGTGGTGTAGGTTGTTTCTATTCTTCCCAGCTGTTGGCTTTAAAAACCAGCCAACAGACAAGACAGTGTTAAACTGCCAGAGATAGACTAGTCGTTTTCCTTTATCTCCTCACTTGGTGGTGATGTCTTGATAAATGTGATTATAAAGTAAATTCTAACACTGATTCTCTTGCGGCAGTTGGCATTTGTTCCTTTTGCAGCTTAAGATTGTATCACCTTGTCTGGAGAAACTTATTAGAAACTTGTAGATGTCATGATTGTCATTCCAAATTTGTATATCGTTTAGTTGTCTTGGTTCTCTTTTAAAACTCCCTTAATTTTACCTTGGACACTTTCTTTTTCTCACTTAACATATCTTTTTCCAAACTCTTTTAACTGATTATCTTGTTATGTCCTTTTTTCTATATCATACAGCTCCTTTATGACGCTTCATGTTAGCAGACACTAAATCATTTTGGGACTGTGGCTTTGTTGTTGTTGTTGTTGTACTGTTTTTTGTTTATAAGATTGGCATTATTTGTCCACTCTTTTAAACAGTTGGAGGACTCAATCTTGTCCTTAAAGGATGTATTAAGATCTGTTTATAAAATGATTTTTTTTCCCTATTCATTTATGCCTTTACGGAATACAATAGTCATTGCACTGGGATCAAGGCTTTCACATCGTTCTGATTTTACTTTTGGTTTTTAAGCCCCCCTGGCTTCGTCTCTAAAATTTCTCCACCCCATTCATCTAAATGTATATATGTGGACTATTATGTAGGCCGGCTGTGGGATTGGAGGAATGCTAAGTGCTACTCATGTTTTCAACACTGGTAATTTCCTGTTTTACCTTACTTTCATTGAAAAGAAGTCTCTGCAGTCTAATGATACTTATTTTTAGGTATACCTTTCGTCCAGAAGTATGTTAATGGACCCAAATGGCTTCCATTTGTTGTTGGGGTAAGTCCAATCCATTCACAGGCAATTGTAAATTTATCATGATATTTACTGACCTTCATTTCTGTAAATCTTATTTTAGCTTAATCTTACTGTAATTTCTGTACCTGCTGCAGCTTCCACCCTTACTTTTGTCTTCAGCTGCATGTGCTGCCTTTGGTGGTAAGATTTGATTTGTATCTTACTATAAATTGTAGAATATCTTTTTTATTGAGTAATATTTTAGTGTGTAGCTGTAGGTTGATTGTTGGTGCATGATAGTTGCTGCAAGTCCTTAGGCAGTTGCATATACGATCTCTTGTGCGAACAAGATCCTTAAAAAAAAAAAATTGCCTTTTCTCTCATTCCAATTATTTAATTTGCAAATTGGTAGAATTTGTTAAAAGACTCCTATATTACTCGCTGCTTAGAAATATTGGCATCAACTTTTTTGTTGTTTGCTCAGTCCAAGTAACTCGAGGAATTATTTGTTTGTTGTCATTGATACTTAGATCGCTAGATTCACTACTATCAAACAATGAGTTGAGGCCTAAAGCCAAAAGGTTGGTTTTTATAATTTGCCTCCATAGTTTTGATCGAGGATAGTAAAGAAATTATGAATCTCTCAAGTTCTAACTACCCTCACCAGTCACCCTACATCACCACAACATGTCTGGGTTCTCACAAAGCCTCATCATCAATGTCTTTTAATGTCTGTCAATCTGGTCTAACTAATGGCCTTTGCCTTTTTTTATGACCACTCATGTTGAGCTTTATTAATGCATTGGCGGTGTTCCTTCCAGTGTCAACTGACTAATCTACTTGTTGCTCATCAGACTCTTCACCAAAGTTGGCTAAAATAGTATAAATGACATTGGTCACAGAAAATATGGACAGCTTGGATCCCATTTGGCATGATGTAGCATTAAGGGTCTTTGATTATCGTTGTGTGACTAAGGTATTGGTTTGTGTGAATCCTTGGTTATTGGCAATCTTATGGCAAGGTCAGCGAGTTAGAGCTGAGAGAGTGATAGCTTTTGGATAAAGAGTTGAGTACCCCCCCCCCCCAATTAAATAAAGAAACTAATTTAAAACCTGCTTGTGTTTGGTTGTATATGTCCTAAATTGAGATGTAAGAATAGAGAATTACTTAAGCTTTAAATTATCTTAAAGGCAAGTTGAATTTAGATTCTATAGGTATTTGATGAATTAATTTGATTCAATAGTAGTAAAGGAAAAGAAGAGAAAGTAAGGGAAGGGTAAAAAAAGAAGAGAAGGGAAAGTAAAGAAATTTTATTTTCCAATGGTTGGTCAAGGAAAGGAAATAAAGGGAAGAGAAAAGAAGTTTGATTTGCAACTTTTATTTTTCTTTTTCTAGTCAAATTCTTCCAATTTGAGGAGGAAAGGAAAGCTAAAACAAAATGGTGTAGGGAATTCCCTCCCAATTACATTCCTTTCCTTTGAATTCTCATGTCATTTATCAAAACCAAACATGGGATCATAAATAAAACCTTTTCCATTCCGTTCTTTTCTAGCCAAATCCCTTCAAGGGAAAAAGGCCTCAAAAGGCCTCAGTTTAAAAGGAAAAAGTTATGATAATATTGAAAGTTTTCTTCATTAACACTATGTTAGGATAATGAGAAATGAATGGAAAGGAAGAGAAATGAAAGGGAGGCCTACATCATCCTTTGTTTGGATATCTTATAAAAGGAGGGAAGAGAAGAGAATTCGAAGGATCCATCTTTCTTCCCCTTTTATTAAACCAAATCCCTCCATTGTTGGAGAGATTTAGTAGCAAATGGAAGATCACCCTCTCCCTCCCTCCATCACCTCCCTTTCCCTTTTTCTCCTCCCCTTCATTATTGTTATCCAAACATAATTGGCTTTTATTTTCCTAAAGTTTTGAAGGAAATTTCTTAATTACCCATTGTTGCCCTCTCCTTTTGTGTTTCAATGTAAATTTAGCAATTTGTAACCATGGTATTGTTATCACTACCTCCATTTTTTATTTTGTGCAACAAAATTAGTGACACATTTCCTAACCCAAAATTTCTTAATGTTAATGGAAACAAGGGGTAAGTGATTAATGGAAAAGAGATAAAAATAAGGATAATTAATAAGTCAAGGCCAACCGCGACTAACTCCACCTACCACCACGAACATCACCTATTCAACTAGCACCAACAACCTCTTTCTCATCACCATCCTACCACCACCAACATCCACGCAGTCAACCATAACCATTACCACCCGCAGGACCCTCCCGCTTCTTGAAAGTACCACCATCCACCCATCCTCTCCTTGAAACAACCACCACCCACCTTCCTGCTTCCCAAAACCACCGCCATTCACCCTCTCTCTTCTCGATCCACCACCATATACCCTCTCTCCCCGAAACAACCACCACCCAACCTCCTCTTCCATCCCTTACGATGCAATGCCTTATCCTCATGCAAATATAGAAACTTAATATCCTTCCTAACTCCTTCCAACCAAGTCATTTTCGATCTCCCTCTCCCTCATCTAACCCCTCCTTGGTCCCACCCTTCCACTATTTATACCGGTGCACCCTTGAGTCGCCGTCTTACATGGCTAAACCAACATAGACGATATTCCCTTAGTTTGTCTTTCGAATAACCTCGTTTCTGATTCCATTTCTTAGAGTGTTCCCGTACATCCACCTTGACATTCGCATTTTTGTAACCTCCATCTTTATAATGTGCTCCCTCTTAGTAGCCTAACATTCCGTACCATAGAGCAACACTAGTCTTATGGCAATCCTGTAGAATTTTGCCTTCAATTGTAAGGGAATGCTTGGTCACATAACACTCTCGTGGTTGCTCTCCTCTTAAGCCACCTTGAGTCCTTGACTTAATTATGTGGGCCACATCTTAATCAATGTCACCATTTTTCTGGATGATTGACCAAAGATATTTAAAGCATTCACTCATGGTCAAGTCCTTTCCATCCAAACTCACCACCTCATTGTTTGTCCCCCTTTGAGTACCAAAGCGGCATACCAAATATTCAGTCTGTCTTACTCCGACTTAGCTTAAACCAAATTCCAATATTTTCCTCCATTTCTCCAACTTAGCATTAACCCTATCTTTAGCTTCATCCACCAAAATGATATCATCCGCAAACAGTATACACTATGGGACTTAATCTTGAATTGGTCTAGTTACTTCATCTAAAACCATTGCAAAAAGGTAAGGGCTTAATGCATAAATGCAATCCAATTTTAATAGGAAAATCTTTTGTCAACCCTCCACATGTCCTCACATTTGTTGACACATCCCAATACAAATCCTTAACCAGGTCCACATACTTTGGTGGGATACCTTTCTTTTGCCCACCAAAGCACATCTCTTGGCACCTTGTCATATGTCTTCTCTAAATCAATAAAGACTATTTGATCCTTCTTCTTTACCCAGTAAAACTCCATCATGTGCCTTATCAAATGGATTGCTTCCATAGTAGATCTCCTTGGCATAAAATCAAATTAGTTATTCAAAGTGGTTTTGCATGCCCTCAAACTATATTCAATCACTCTTTCCCACTACTTCATAGTGTGGCTCATAAGCTTGATCCCTTGATAGTTAAAACAATCCTGAGCATCTCCTTTGTTTTTATGCACCAGGATTAAGTTGCTCTTCCTCCAATCTTGCGGGATCCTTGTAGCTCTCCATATCTTGTTAAAGAGATCAATGAAGCAATCAATGCCAATCTTACCCAAACATCTCCACACCTCTATCGGTATACCATTCGGCCCAACTGCATTCTTAGGTTTCTTCTTTTTCAGTGCAATCTCCACCTCTATTCCTAATCCTTCGCTACACTCCATGTTGATTTCTTCATCACTTACAAAGGTATCTCCTATTCCCCCTTCATAACTTCCATTAAACAATTCATCGAAGTACCCCTTCCACTTTTGAACAACTTGGTTCTTATCTTTTATACACTTTACCATGCCAATATCCTTCCTTGCCTATTGTCATCTTTTCGCCATCTTATAAATGATCTTTTCTCCCTTGGAGTCAAGCTTTTCATAGACCTCTTGATAAGCCTTTTCTCTCGCTTGTCGAACCACTGCTTTTGCCTTACTCTTAGCCTCCTTATACGCTGCATAGATTTCGCCGCTCCTACATTTTCCCAAGGCGTGATAGCATTCCCTTTTTTGCATAATTACTTTCCACCACGAAGTATATGGCAGTATTGAAGTTCTCCCCTTTGATTCCCCTAAGACCTCTTTGGACACTCTCAAGAAACAGTTCTTCATTTGTAACCAAGTCATGCCTAGATCCACCTCTCTATCCTAATCTGAATCCTTGATTACCTTTTCTGTAAAAACCTTAGCATTTGCATCCCTTAGAGTCCACCATCCTATCCTTAGCTTCTCTTGTCTTCCTTTTTTCTTCGCCTTCTCTTTCAAACAAATAGTCATAACCAAAAGCCGATGTTGGGTGACCACACTCTCTCCTGGAATGATCTTGCAGATTAAGCTACTTTGTCTATCCGTGCTCCGTTAGGAAGTCTATTTGTGTTGTATTTGCTCCACTCTGAAAAGTTATCAACTGCGAATCCCGTTTCTTAAACCAAGTATTAGCCAAAATTATATCACATGATTGGGAAAAATCCATAATAGCTTCGCCTCTTGCGTCCTTTCGCCCATACCCAAAGCCTCCATAAACCCTCTTAAAGCCATCCCGGCTTACCCCAACATGCCTATTGAAATCACCTCCAATATATAGTTTCTTCGTATGGTAAAAACCCTGTAGCACCTCATCCAAATCCTCCCAATATTGTTGATTCTCTTCTGCACCTAAACCTAAATCAACTTGGGGAGCATAAGCACTAACGGCATTCTCAATCTCCTTGCCACAACGCAACTTCACCCTTATCAACCTGTCATTCTTCCAATAAACATCGATTACCTCTTTCGACAACCTCTCATCAAGAATCACACCAACTCCATTCCTAGCTCCACCATTCCTCATCCTGTGGCTTGTCTGTCCAGCGTACCACACTTTATACCCAAAACCAAGCCTCGAGATCCTTCTCCTGTCCACCTTGTCTCTTGGAGGCACATGATGTTTACCCGTCTTCTCTTCATCACTTCTACCACTTCTGTTGATTTTCTCGTAAAAGACCCCACATTCCAAGAACCAATCCGCAAACTAGTCCTTCCTCACACGCTCCCTAGTACCACACTTAGGCAATATGGTGCGTCGCTTCGGGGCAACGACCTAACAACCCTTGCATACTTATCACTGCACCCAAGAAGTGAAGCGCGTCGCTCAGTAGGGAACGCCCCAATGGCACACCCTTGTTCATTTAACACCACACTCTTGCAATGTGGCGCGTCACTTCTGGGCGATGACCTAGCAAGCCTTGCATACTTATCACTACACCCGGGTCTAGGAAGTACAGCGCGACGCTGAGTAGGGAACTCCCCCACTTAAATATCAGTTTTGCTCATGTCATGGGATGTGACAAAGTTTTACACTGGTGGCCTACTGAAACCCTCCTTTATCCGGGGACTGACGGTTCCCAACTGGCAGAGTTAACTAAAATTGGAAATTGTCCAGTTACAACCACAGTGTAAGGAAAGGGATGGGAAGGATTAAGAGAAAGGGAGGGAAATAGTGACCTTTTACTTTTCTTCTAAACAATTGAGAGAGTTAGTTTATTAAAGTGGAAGGAAAATGAACCCTTAAGGGAAAATGCATCCCTCACTTTCCCTCCAAAATTTCATATCCAAACATAATTTAAGAAATTGTAAATCACAAAAATTTTCAGTGATGGGTGCACTAGTCTCAACTCTTGATGTCATTAACTTTATCAATCTAATTCCCGATTCAGCTAAATGAGAACCATTGGTTTAGACTCCTTTCCAACTTTTAGTGTAATTGGCAGAGCTCGGAAGGCGATATGGGTTCAATCTGGGCTGATGAACAGGAGGCAGACTGCAGGTTAGGGATTAGGATGTGGGTTGAAAGTGTAAAATTAGGAGGTAATGGGGTGTTTGTCTTTATGTTAGTTCTATATTCAGTAACTAATTCTCAGGCAAAGAAAAAAATTCTTAATCAATATGTATTTCCATGCCACCATGCCAGCTTGATATTAATGTTGTTACTGAAACAGGAACTTTCACTAATTATCCAGGGTAGACCAGATTTTTTTTCTCTTTGTGGTTGCTCTCATGGTTGAACTTATATCTGCTAGCAAGCTTTCAGCTTTAATTCTAATGGAATCAGTCAATTTTTTTACAAAGTTATCTCCTTTTTCTATCTATTGTGAATGAATAGCCACTTCATTCTATTCTAGTGATAGTAGTGAAGCATCGAGGGTAAACTATTCTTCACAGGAACGAAGTATACATGTAACTCTACCCACTAAACCCATCTATTGGCGAGAGCATTTTCTGAGTGCAAGACAAGGAGTCAATCAAAATGTTAATACATTTAGAATCTAGTCTCTGGTGGAATTTCTTGGCAAATTTTCCTTTGCTCTGAAACATCCTTGACTTCTTGAGGTACAAATGTACAATGTATACAAATGTTCCAGAATTCACTTTGAAACCATTTAAAAACATAAAAGCAATTTACAGAGGAAATAAAAACTAATTAGGCACATTTTGCCCTTTGAAAGCAAACTAGAAGGAAATGTCTTTTTTGGATCTAGCCTTAGAGTGCGAAAATTTAGTTTTGTTAAGGAAGTTGGAAGCCACAAAGTTTTTATATTGAAAGGGTAAGAAGGGACTCGGGTATGCCATCTGTGGTCATGACTCAAATTATTGGGGCAGAGGTCTTCTTTAAATGGATGATATAGCATTTCACTGCAGGGATAAGGAGATATAATTAGGAAGTACTAAGATGGAGATGAGGGAGAGGGACACATTTACATTTCATGCTTTTTAGAGTTTGCATTTGCGTTTTTTCACACTAATTCTTGTTTTGCAGGCAGAGCATTCTTTCTTTCTTTTTCTTTTTTTTTTTTATTTATTTTTTTTAATTAATGAATTTATTTATTTTTATAATTATTTATGGTACTTGATTGATTCAGTAATGTTCGAATAGATCGGCAAGTAATGTTAACACGAATTAATACTCTTGCTCTTTACAGTCTATACTTAATGTATGTCTGTCAAATAAGTTGATCAAGGCATCAAATGTGCAGGTTATGCTCTTCCTAAATTTACCCAGCTTACCGTGACATCATATTATGCTGCTTCAAGTGCTTCACATTATGGGATATCTCTACTCACTAGACAAATTGAAGAGGCACATATGTCAACCTCTCAGCAAGAGAAACTCTGATGATGATGATGATGATGCGTGTAAGATGACTTACGTGACACAGCTGCTGCTTTGCTTGTACCAGGTTAATGTTTATGGCCACTTCCTGTAATGCATTTATCTAGAATATTCAATTCTGGATTTTTCGTTAGTTCCCCTCTCCCCTCCCCCCTCTTTTAAAGTATGACTTCCACCTTTTTTGAATTTAGTTGTCACATTACTATTAGGAATACGTCCAACCTTTTTATCTATATATTGTTAGGAATAGTGAATTATACTTGAATTTTAAGGCAGTTTTAGCCGAGTTATATGTATAGTTGAAGATATTTAAATCTTTCATAATAGATAGAGACATTTGATTGATCTGACATTTACTTTGTTGATCTTTGCACATCCAAAGTTATTTCATTGTCCTCCTTTGCAACTTGCAATAGATATTTTCCTTGCTTTTGAGCTTAATTTTAGAAGTAGCTTGTAAACAATCAGCTTGTATTTTACTTAAATGGTGGTTCATTGAGCCCACACAACCCACATTATTTTGTGGGAGGAATAACTAAAGTCCAACCTTTCTTGCTCCAAAACTATTCGAAAGAGAAGAAATGTGGGACTTGTAACCACTTAGAATAGTTAGGCTGGGCCCAAATCTGTTTGTGTTAGGGCCTCAAGTCATGTCTGAATTCCATAGGCCCAGTAATCTGCTGTGCAATTGGGACAGTTGGTGATGGGCCAAAGAGTTTAAAACCACGTCATAATTCTTGAATAAGGTGGTGTCCTACACTCCTATCCATAAACAAAAGAAAACGATATTAAAAGGGATTAAGGTTTAGATTAGGGGATACTTCAATCATGTTGTACTGTTGTCACTAAGAGGGACATTTTGATGATATTCAATGCTGCTTACTATGTTACTCGAACTCTTCATTTTACCTCGTATACCCGTGTTGGATCCTCGACAAGAACACTTCATTTTGGGCCAAAATCATGAATTTTTTTCTCTATATAACAAAATTTTAGGGCAAGGGTGGGTATCTGAGGGTGAGTAACATAGACTACTGCCCTTCTATATTCAACATCTCAATTGATCTTCAAACCAAAATTTTTGTAAAGTCTACCTTTTCCACTCTTTACTTTCAATTTATAGGTGTCTCTCCAGTAAATCCATGATTGATTATTCAACTGGGGAACATAGTAAATCCTCTGTTCTTTGTCTTTGATGAAATAGGTTTAGTCCAGAAATCGAGTTAGCGTGAACCATGAGCTGTAGAAGGTTAGGATCTTGACTAACTGAAACTCAATGTCAACCTTTCCTGTTTCCTTACTAGACATATGTTTGTTGAACTGTTGCAACCCAATTTTTGTAGTCAAAGTTTGTTGCCGTCTTAGCTTGATTGTGTTGCTCACTAAAAAGTTACAACTTTAAAGGAAGCTTTAGTTTTCGAGTTTGGTTAAGAATTATTTTTGAAATTCTTCGTAGGAAACTTCTTTTTCCACAAATCATTGCTAGTTGAAGTAAAGGTTTGAGGTTTTTCTTTCCAACTGTTTTGATGTCAACTTCACTTGTCTACTTGCCACTTCTCAACTAGATATTTTTGTGTGTTTTTGATTCAAAATTGATATTATCTTGTACTGTGTGGTTTAGAGTACTTTGATGTGTCTCAATTGATTTGCCAAAATATTATGTGGATCATATAATATTATTAGGTGTGACAAAGAACCGACAATTTTCTTTATAAGTCTAGTATTTGTATGATGGATATTCTTCATTTTATGTCTAATAAATACTTGGATAAATGATGAGGACAAATCGCAACTATTGCGACTGCCCATTTAAAGCTCCCATGTTGTATAAGGGAATTTCAAAAATATAATTTTGTTCCTTGAATTTGGAAATATGTATTTCATGTCTTATTTTTATTTTTGTTATAAAATATTTGGAATTTTATTTTAGAAATATATGAACTCGTTGCATTTTCCTATTTCTGTCTCCTTTTTTAGAAATCGTTATATGAGAGCTAATACTAGTACAGTAGGTGAATGAATAGGTAAGCTCTGAATTGATTGAGCTATTATTATTGATTTTAACTGTTGTACTCTTCTGGGTATTTTTTCTGGTTAGAAATTTAATGTGATGTACATGTAAGAAAATCATTCAATAACATTGTTTTGGGGATGGTAAGATGAAGAATTATTATTATATGTTGGACCCATCATGTTCTAATTGGGTGTAGATTTACACTTTAGACCCTTGAGAGGTGGGTAGGATGAGGACGAGGATGAGAAAAGTTCTAACTCTGGAGAACTTTATTAGTAGGATTCAAATCTATGATCTCAAGGTCATAATGTAGGAATTATACCACTAAACCAAGCTATCTTGGTACGTTGTAGCATTATGCTTATCAAATGACACGTAATTATTGTTTTATGGGTTGGATACGAAGTGTGCTAAGAAACGTGATCTTTAAGTGATTATAAGCTTCAATATAATTCTCACAAGTAAGCGTCATAGTCATTTTCTATACTTAACAACTTGATCAAACCAACAAATACTTATTGATTAGATTTAGAGGGTCCTAATCAATAATGAATTGAATAGATGAAGACAGATGACTAAGGACATATTGAGGTGATTAGAGAAGATCTTGTTTGAAGATATCTCCATCATTGTACTTCATTGTTACAGAATTCTTGAAATCTAGCTGAGATCTACATCAGTATGGCTAGCAACAACTGTAGTTTTTATTAAGATTAGAGGGACATTTTTCACTTAAAGGCTAAATTCTGTTGAAACACTCTTTCTGAATTATGGTCATTTTCTCTGAAAGAACAATGACTTCCCAAATGTGGGCCCCAGATACATGTGAATGTGTAAGATCCATACATAAATATAACTTCATAGCAGAAAGTTACCCAAAGAAGAGTCAGCCAAAGATGGACCTACTGATCTAACAATATGGTCTACAAATTTGGTGGCATTTATTAGTAAGTGAATGCCAAAGTCACTCCCCAAGAAATTGACAGTTAGAGGAGGAAGGGAGGAGTTTTTGGTTGGGTTATGTGATGGTCGACCTGACAAAATTGACTATATCCGATTATCACTCGACCCAGAATGACCCTAAGTCTCGAGTTTTCAACCAGACCTGTCAATCCCACAAAGTTGATTCAATCCAAAACCTGAATTGACACAACCGGTTGTATTTATAAACTAATCCAAATTGACTTGACCCGAACTTGATCAAAACGACCCGATTGCCAGGTTATGTGATGGTGATCTAGCAACCCCAACCCTGTGGGTGTGGCGTATGTTAGCAAGACATTAGCACACTGTATAAACTGTCAACCTCGTTCGCAACTTTTTATAGGGGTTAGTGGGGGCCAAGTATACTTAAATTCTACAGTGTCTTTGTGTTTTAGGAAGTGGTCCTATGATATGATGATAATGTGGTTTCTCTTTCTCTTCAAATGTCTTTATTGTTCCTTTAATTGTCATATACTAACACATATACTTGCTACTATATAGTACACTTTATATATATATATATGTATATATACACACATATTCTTGCATGAACAGATGCTCCCTTACTGAGATGCATTAAATATGGGTTGGACCCATTTTTATAATATGGTTGGATGATGCAATGTGTTCGCCTAACGATTCTGCTATTTTGGTGGCCGCTCTGTCAGTCATGGGTTCTTTTAATTCTCTCTCTCTCTGTGAAATCAGACAGTTCCTTGGTTATGTACATATAGGGCAGTGGTTCATGTTTTAGTTTTAACCCTCTTCTGTGTTACTCTTACAGTGCTTCCTCCCTGAATTAGGCTTCAGTAAATCCTTGGTTTTTGTTTTTTCTCTCTCCTTTTTTCAAAGTTCAAACTTTTATTGCTCTAGTTTGGTGGTTTTACCTACTTAACTTTTAATTCGAGTGAATGTACTGGTTCATCCATTCTATTATTATTGCCGTATGCCCGTATCTACAATTTTTTCTTACATCCACTCGTCTTTTTATTTTATCTCTTTTACTTTACTCAACTTTTTTAATTTTTCCCTACACCCATGCACTTTGTCCATGCATCACAATAAACAAATGTTTATAATAAGCGAGTTGAAATTTCATAAATAAATAGATTTATATGTAGTATATAATATTATAACATAATGACATTTTTTATATATATATTATGCACCGTATATTTGTATAGTATGTGTCAATTTTAGCAAAATAAAAATAAAAATAAATGTCACAATGATAATTGTGAAGGAAAATGTTTGCTTAACCACGAGGGTCACCGGTAGGGATGTCAATATTAAGTGGATATCCACTAACCCGCTCCACTCGCAATAAATAAATGGATGAAAACCCGAATTAAATGGATGAAAAGCGAGTGACGGATGAAGCGGATGATGGATCGGATCGGATATGGATGATATTTTTTTCACCCGCTAATCATCCACCCACCCGTTTAACATATATTAATTTTTTAATCTAAGAATTTTAATAATAAAATCTGAAATGTGCAAAATTATATGTATTTTTTTGTTGCAAATTAATTTTTCAAACAATATATTGTTATTGTTTCCTTTTTAATTAATAAAATTAATAAAACTATTGTACAAATAACCGAAAATTAAAGTTATGTGAGTTTTTTTCAACTTTAATACTCATCCATTAGTCATCCGCTCCACCCGTTTCATCCGCGGATGATGGACGGATGGATATGGATGATGGGTGAAGCGTGTGATGGATGGATGTGGATGGAGCGATTAGAGTAATGGATGGATGCGGGTGAAGCTTCACCCGATCCGAATCCGATCCATTGCCATCTCTAGTCACCGGTGTGTGAGTAAGTTAGAGTTTGATCCTAAAAGGTTATACTCCCTCTGTTTTTAAATACCTGCTCCATTTTTATTTTTTGCACTATTTATTTGTCCTACTTTGACTAATGTTTGTGATTTATAAATAAGAAAAAAGTTAGTCTTGTGGGTACTTCTTAGAATCATCTCAATGAATAAATTATTAATTTTTAATTGCTAGAATTTATACTTATTGATACTTAAAGGTATGAGTGATCAAAGATTAGTATCGGCATGCGTGTCCAAGAGAAATGCAGTAAGTATTTAAAAACGGAGGGAGTAGTAGTAAGGTGAAGAACTAATTACATGGTTGATAATTCGTTATCCATTTTTTTTCTTTTTTTTTACATATATTGGGATGATAATCAAACAAGCATGGTTGACCTTTTCTTATGAGCTTTTATTCAACTTAAATTCCATGTTCTTTTTAGGATAATTGTATAATTTGGTAGCTTTCTCAATTTTATCTTGTGCCATAGAACACATTTATCCGTTAAATAATTGAATTAATTTGAAAT